GGTGGATGGTTAGGGTTTAGGGTTTAGAGTTTAGGGTCTAAGGTTTGTTTGGGGTTAGGCTTTTTCACTCTGCCCCGACGAGCTTCCGGGCGGGTTCAGGGTTTCAGGGTTCACGGTTTGAGTTTAAGTTCAGGGTCTCGGTTGAGGGTCTAGGGCTTTCCCTCTGCCCCAGTGTGGTTCGTGCTGGATCAAGGGTTAAGGGTCAGGGTTTAGGCTTGGGGCGGATACCATGCAGTGGTTGGGTCTTTGGGGGGCTTTCGTGTTGTAGGGTTTCTGTGGCTTGCAGCCTGAAAAGCGCACTGCCATCCAAACCCCCTAAACCCTAAACCTTAAACCCTAAACCCTAAACCCGAAACCGTAACCCTAAACCCTAAACCCTACTCAGAACTCCAAAAGCCCCTGTCGAGCTTGCTCGGGGCTGCTCGGGCTCACGCCATGAGGATGGAAGGGGGTCGGAACGGATAGTCCTCTGGGTTTTAGGGTTCAGGGTTGAGGGTTTAGGGTTTAGGGTTTAGGGTTTCAGCTTGCAGGGAGCGTGCGCAAGCAAAGGCACTGCTGCGGAGACTCCTGTTCACCTGCACCCGGGGATTCTTCCAAACGAGGCCTGCCCACGTCACCCTCGAGCCCAAGCAATCGGCGTCCTTTGGAAATCTGAGGCGGCCCCAATACCTCTCGGCAAACGAAGGATTGAGTTGGGGTTCGGCCGGTCATATGCTTGAGACGGGTGTGGGAATATGGCGTTCTGAGTTTGGTTCAAGGAGAAGGCAAGTGTAGAGCAAGAACCATATTCAAGTCTAGAGGGTGCTACAAAACGTCATATGAAGGAACCATTCTTCCAGGCGGTAGCACTGCTTGAGTTGTTGGACTTTGTTCGTGTTCACAGTGCCACCATCCATGTGTCCAGATGGGAGATTCCCCAAAATTAGGGTTCCTACTTGGGCTCCTGTTCTAATCCACATGAGAGTCAGTCCCCAGAAGGCCCCCCAACTAATTTCCCAGATGCTTTCCGACAAGAAGCTGCCGGATGATGTGTGATGTATCTGTGTCTGGGACCCGCACCATCCTCCTTCATAGGGAGTCTCCTCAGTCGTACGATTCGAGATGGCTCCAGGCAGGCAGAACGCAACTTCTCGCTGCGGGAGCTGGAGCATCCTTTGTTTGCTCTTGTGGGGGCTTCTGCTCTCGGGATTTCAACCCTAAAACCTAAACCCTAAAACCTAAACCCTGAACATGTCCAAGCACTCTAATCCCTCTCTTCTGTTCACCTCAAAGGCAAAAGCCGTCAAAAAAAAAAATCGAGGCTGTTTTGCAGCCCTTTGGCTTGCCAGTTCACTACCCAAGACCCCCGCTTAGTATACCCCTTGAATGGGGACAAAACAAACGGGCACTACTCCCCCCCCCCCCCCCATAAAGGGCTCATTTCGGGATGTCCCGTCTTATACCAACAGTCCTTCATGGGAATGTCAGTGCCCCCCCATTATCATCCCTTTTGAGGACTGTGAGTATAAGGGGAACATCCCAAGGCTCATGTCTCAGTACCCTAAACCCTAAACCCTAAACCCTAAACCCTAAACCCTAAAACCTAAACCCTAAACCCTAAACCCTAGGTAGGCTCCAGACTGTTGGCCCTTCGAGGACATAGTGCCACTCCAGGATGTTCGACTGGCGGGCCATTCTCTGACAGTACGCTGAACATAGTACATGATAATCTGAAATATGATCGTATAATCTTATATAATGTCATAAAATATTATAACATATCAACAACTAATAAAAGGTACTACTAAAAATGTAGATACCAAAATATCAGTAGTTAGTATGTTGTACTACTGTAGAATATTTTAGAATATGATATGAGATTGTATAAGATGATACAAGATGATGTAAGGATATATAAGAGTATATCGCATGATACGAGATTCCGTAGCATTAGAACATACTATGTCACATTGACATTTATTATATTATTACATCTTGTGGCATTGTATAATCGTATATAGTATGACCTAATGGTATTTCACATCATATTAGATAAGAAAACATGATTTACATATTGCGATGAATGGCTATTGTATCATCTGATATAGAAGAATACAGAATCCGACTTCTTACATGAGAACATCCAATGTTATGCAAGATTATACAAGGTTATATAAGAATATGTGATTAAGCAGGATGATAATAGAAGATTGTACAAACTCATAAACGATTATACATATTCATACAACATGATACAACATTAGATTGGAGAATCTTGCTTGTTTTGCATAAACATACATAGGTATATGGAATATCAAAACATATCATATACATGTATATATATATATTGACTTAAATATCATCTATCCTAATCCCTAAAACTGAAGGCCCCCCACCCCAACCACCACCACCCACCCCCGCCAGCTGGATCCTATACTTCTGGGATCTTAGGTTTAGGGCATCCGGGCGTACCCCATGGAAATCGGGAGGACTCAAGGTGCTGACCCTTGCAGTTGGCATGGGAAATTTAGGGTTAGGGCTTAGGGTTGTTTAGGGTTTAGGGTTTAGAGTTTAGGGTTTAAAGTTTAGGGTTTAGAGTTTAGAGTTTAGGGTTTAGGGTTGAGGGTTTGAAACGTATAGCCTGTAACGAAAGCCCAGTGGTCCTCGCTCCTGATCCGAGCGAGTCCCCATTGTCTGAAGCGTGTTGTTGCATGCGGACGAATGTACAACAACAAGCTCCTCTCTGCCTCTCGAACATGCTAATATCAAATCATCTCAAACCCCTCCCAATCCCCTGCACACCCCGAAACCCGAAACGCTGAGCCAGTTCGGCCTCGTCCACCGACACGTGGATGTGGGGAGCCGGGTCCTCACTGATGGCCTTCGCAAGGCTGGATGGGTGGAGCTCAGAGTTTGCAGTTACCCTAAACCCTAAACCCTAAACCCCAAACCCTAAACCCTAAACCCATATTTTTGAGCCCGTGCCTCGGAGGCCAAAGGTCTCACAAACATCCCACCACGGGGGGGTTAACCATACAAGGGCTGAGAGAGACACATGGTGAAAGTACTGGAATTACTGAAAACTCAAGTTTTGGATGTGGTTGTGGGTGAAGGCTTAGTATGCTGTAGAAAGAAGCAAAAGTGCTGCAAATAGCAGTGTTTTGGGCATGTTCACAAAAGGCATGAACGCTTGCGACAGCGCGTCTGGCTGCAGAAACACCAAAACATTCTTCTGCAGTATGTTCTTCATAAACGGCAAAATGCTGAACCATCCGGTGTTGTGCAAAAAGCTTGTGGCAGCAGCAACGTCAAACGTCCTTTTGCAGCATTATTAAGAAAGGCACAAATTCTGCAAATAACAGTGTTCGGGGCATGCCCACCCACACACAAAAAAAAACAAAGGCAACCTCAAAAAAATCTTTTTCGCCCCCGTATTCACGAAACATATCGAAACATCAAACCTAAACCAGGCGGTTGGATTGTAGGTTCCCCCCCCCCCCCCCTTCCCCCCTTCCATGCTCTGCCCCCCGCCCGGCACCCCAAGAAGGCCCAGCCTTGATTTCCTTCCTCAAGCGCGAGGCAGCCTCGAGTTCGTGATCGCTGAGTCTTTGGATGCATTTAAGATTCAGGGCTTGGGGGGCTGAAGGGGTCGAAGGCACCGTCGGCTTAGGGCTTGGGAAGAAACAGAACTACGGAACTGTGAGGCACAAGCCGGCTCCTAAGGGGAGATTACGAGGCGCAACCGGACACGTCAGCGCATGCGAATAGCATCGAAAGTAAAAGCTTGTCAAGTCAAGCCCAGTCGCACACACCCTTGCGCCGAGTTTACATGATAGCTGCCCATTGTATGACATGTCTGTCTCATACAACATCGAAGACCGGGACCTTTTGTACAACCTTCACATGGATTCTGGGGTTTTCCTACACGAGTATCTGGAATTGTCTAGCGTGCCTGGGTTAAGACCTGGAGTCGAGGGTTTAGGGTTTAGGGTTTAGGGTTTAGGGTTTAGGGTTTAGGGTTTAGGGTTTAGGGTTTAGGGCTTAGGGTTTAGGGTTTAGGGTTTAGGGTTTAGGGTTTTGGGTTTTGGGTTTTAGGGTTTAGGGTTTAGGGTTTAGGGTTTAGGGTTTAGGGTCCACCTCTTCTTAAGGTAGCACGGTCCTCTTGGAACATTGCCTGAAAAGTAGGAATCCCCCGCTTGCGCCTGGCCTGCTTGGACGCCATCGAGGCTGCAGAGGCTGAAAAATATGTGTCGCAATATTCAATATCAAGTATGATCAAATGTTGGATATCAACAATTACATATCAGGTAGTGCTTAAGGTCACAGGCTCCATGCGACCGACATATTCTTGCCAGCACACTGCACGTAGACTGGACATCTTTCAACAACAGTCTCTTGCACACATGATGTGTCTGGTATGCTGCAGGGGGCTGCGAAGCATGAAACACACAAACGAAAAAACTAAGACAAAAAACAACCCCGATAGGCTCTACCCTGGCTCGGGCCCCCGGGCCCCTAAATCAAGACGTGTACACAAACATAGATGTCCATGCCACCATGCAGAACCTAAGTACTGCAGGCCCAGGCGCAATATCTCAAATGTATAAAAGCCTTCAGAACTGTGGAATCATGAGGCTCGACCCGGCACGTAAGTGCATGTGTGAAAGAACGTCGAAAGTAGTAAGATAAGTCACAATTGTTTGCTAGGATGTATGCATGATATGTGTCTTCTTGGAAGAAGGAACATTCTCTTTGGGGCAGCTGTGTGTGTGTGTGGGGGGGGGGGAGGAAACTCAGGCTGCTGCTACATCTTAGGCTAGACTCATTCAGTGGGACACTGAATGTTTAGTCAAAATTGGGTTTCCCTTGGCAAGCCGATATCGCGTCAAAGTTTCATTGGTGCCCGACGCTCTTCTGTACACAAGAGCCTTGCTGACTCTTTGGTCTGCGAGCAACGCCGTCCCTGAGCTGCTGCATATGCTGCGGACAGCGTTGACGATGCTCTAAGCACACACATCGAGCTAGATGTCGATGCTGGTCTCCTGCAAGCAGAAAGCGTGTGTACGATGTTGGCTTGATACCAGCCACAGACACAGGCCAACCACAAACATACGAGTCATGCCTTGTCCTTCTTGCACGCCTCCTTGGTGTACTCAAACTCAGTCTTGCCGTTGCTGTCAGTCGTGATGACCTTGATAGACTCATCACGAGCGTCCCAGAAGATGGTCTGACGCTCGCCCTTGGACCAGCAGCCCTGAGCGTTCTCGACGGTGATCTCCCCGTTGCGAATGGCGTAGGTGATGTCACCACAGGTATACTGCGAATCGCCCTGGGCAGCGTGATACTTGAAGGCGTTTTCAGAGAAGGTCAACTCTGCATGGCGATTGGCCGTGCTACCAACATAGCAGAACTCGCCGGCAGGTTTGGCCTCGGCGACAGTGACCTGGAAAGCTTGCTTCGAGCAGGATCAATTGAGGCACAGTCTGTCAGAGCTGCTCAGAAAAACAACACACGAGTCATGCCTTGTCCTTCTTGCACGCCTCCTTGGTGTACTCAAACTCAGTCTTGCCGTTGCTGTCAGTCGTGATGACCTTGATAGACTCATCACGAGCGTCCCAGAAGATGGTCTGACGCTCGCCCTTGGACCAGCAGCCCTGAGCGTTCTCGACGGTGATCTCCCCGTTGTGAATGGCGTAGGTGATGTCACCACAGGTATACTGCGAATCGCCCTGGGCAGCGTGATACTTGAAGGCGTTTTCAGAGAAGGTCAACTCCGCATGGCGAGTGGCCGTGCTACCAACATAGCAGAACTCGCCGGAAGGTTTGGCCTCGGCGACAGTGACCTGGAAAGCTTGCTTCGAGCAGGGTCAATTGAGGCACAGTCTGTCAGAGCTGCTCAGAAAAACAACACACGAGTCATGCCTTGTCCTTCTTGCACGCCTCCTTGGTGTACTCAAACTCAGTCTTGCCGTTGCTGTCAGTCGTGATGACCTTGATAGACTCATCACGAGCATCCCAGAAGATGGTCTGATGCTCGCCCTTGGACCAGCAGCCCTGAGCGTTCTCGACGGTGATCTCCCCGTTGTGAATGGCGTAGGTGATACCACCGCACAAGTACTGAGCGCCAGAGCCCTCGGCCTTGTAATCGAAGGAGTGGCCCAAGAAGGTCAGCTCAGCGTGATGAGCGTGGGTGCCATCAAAGTAGTAGCAGAACTGGCCAGCAGGCTTGGTCTCGGCGGCCGCGGCGGCGGCGGCCAGAGCGATGGTCAGGACGAAGGACATCTTTTTGTGATGATGAACAGTGGAGTGCTACACCGAAATGTAGGCTACAGACTGCAAGAATGAGTAGAGGCTACATAGGGCGATGCGATCTAATTTGTATAAAGCTGCGGCGAGGCGAGCGGCATGGAAATGCGAGGCAGTCTACGTTGGATCGCACCGTGCGACTTCAGTTGGCAAACTTCTACGGCTGCTCAACACAAGTTTATATATCTTCGTCAAACATCCTACGAAGTCAAGTAGAAGTGGCATGCTTGCGACTGACTGATGATCACCGCCCAGCATGGTGGGGCAGCTTAAACCCCAAAGCCCCCTTAAGTCTTAAGTCGCAAGACGGCAGTTCGTGCGGCGAGCTGGTGTTTTGACAGGTGAGAAGCCCAGCATCGCACGTGAAAGCTGAGGGTAAAGCATGACCGCACAGGCATGACACAATATGCTCACGGCCAAGAACTGCTTCTCTCCAGGCGGAGTTTTGGGTTTAGGGTTTAGGGTTTGGGGTTTGGGGTTTGGGGTTTAGGGTTTAGGGTTTAGGGTTTAGGGTGTAGGGTTTAGGGTTTAGGGTTTGGGGTTTGGGGTTTGGGGAGGGCGCGCAGAGTCGTGATGGGGCTGCTCAAGCCGAGCCGAGACCCACCAGGCCCTGCTCGTGGGAGTCTGCGAGCCGGGCATTGCCCAGCTTTGCCACTACCAGGAGGAAAATTGGATCTCTTAGGATCGTGGCCAAAATCTTCCAGCATACTCTGATCCCCATGCCGCCTAAACTGCCCCCGTGGCCCGAAGCCCTCAAGCTCGTCTCTACTAAAGCCTTGCTACCCAGACCCTAAGCCCTGGAAACCCCAAGCCCTAAACCCTAAATCGGCCACCAAAGCTTGCACTCCACTCGGCGACAGCGCTGGCCACCGGGCATCACTTTCAAGCTCTGCGGTCACGGTCCGCATTCGGCCAAGGTTTAGAGTTGAGAGCTTTTTAGGGTTTAGGGTTTAGGGTTTAGGGTTTAGGGTTTAGGATTGAGAGCTTAGGGTTGAGGAATGAGGGCTCAAGGTGCTTTTGGGCTTCCAGTTGCTTCGGGATTGCTTCGGCTTCTGGGATGGTAACCTAAAACCCTGAAACCCAAAAATCCGAACCCAAGATAAAAATCCTGGACTGGAGGGTCTTCAGGCTTTCCGTAGGTCATTTTGAGGAAACCAATAGGTATTTACTAGACCTTCCTGTTATGCAACTGATCTGGAGCTCCTTAGATTAGCTGACCATGGGGCAGATTCCCAGCGCCGGCGCCCGGTCCCTGAACGCAGCAGGGCCCCGAAAAAGGAAGGAAAGGAGCGAGCCAAGTTGAGGGAATTGGTAGGCGTCAGGGTTTCTAGAACTTCGGGTTTCTAGAGCTTAGGCCTTCGAGGGCTTTGGGGTCTAGGGTTTGGGGGTTGGGGCAAGCGTTGGCTCTTATGGTTTCGGGCCCTGAGACTAAACCGCTTGGAGCCCAAACCATAAGAAAAACCTCAACAAGCTGCCAAAACACAGCCCAGGGTCTCTTGGATGGACGGGAGTAGGTCCTCCGTCTTGGGGCGGGCGCGCACAAGGTACCCCTCTTCTCCCTTGTCCACCTTCACCTTTCTCTGCAAGAGTTGGCGCGGGCCGGGGGCCTTCTTGGGTCCCTATCAAAATACCGGCCCTTGCATTTTGGAGTCCGCAAGCCATCCAACGCGAGCCAGCCTCTTTCAAGGGACCCTAAACCCGAAAACGGTTCAGGGCTTGGAGCGTTTGGGGGCTTATGAGCCACGACGTTTCTCGAAGCCCAGAAGGAAACCCTAAACCCTAAACCCCAAACCCCTAAACCCTAAACCCTAAACCCCGAAAACCGGAACTCCAAGCAAAGCTGGCCTTGGTGGACCAGTGCATGGGGTCGGGCGGCGGCTCGAAGGATCGCCAGCTCCACCTCAGCTTGGTTTAGCGAGAGGGGTTTAGGGTTTAGGGTTTAGGGTTTAGGGTTTAGGGGTTAGGGGTTAGGGGTCAGGGGTTAGGGGTTAGGGGTTAGGGGTTAGGGGTTAGGGGTTAGGGGTTAGGGAGGGGTTAGGGGTTAGGGGTTAGGGGTTTGGGGTTTGGGGCTTGGGGTTGGGGTTTAAGGTTTAGGTTTAGGTGTTGGGTTTAGGGTTTAGGGTGTAGGGGGGTTAGGGGGTTGAGGGGGTTTAGGGGTTTAGGGGGTTTAGGGGGTTTAGGGGGTTTAGGGGGTTTAGGGGGTTTAGGAGGTTTAGGAGGTTTAGGGGATTGGGGTTTAGGGGTTTGGGGTGTAGGGGTTTGGGGTTTAAGGGGTTTGGGGTTTAGCGCGGTAAGCAGGGGCTTGCTAGGGTTTAAGGAACAGTCCGGCGGGCTTCGGGTGGAGGATGGACAGTCTCGTGAAGGGATCGGAGCTTGGTTTTCTTGGTCTCGGCGCTGTGAACCCTAAACCCTAAGCCCTAAACCTTAAACCCTAAACCCTAAAACCTGAATAGGATTGAGGGTTTCAGGGCTTTAGGGTGCGGAGGGTGCCCCCAACGAGGCCCGGCCACTTCTGCAGCACCGCGCCCCTGCTGTCCAGCAGAAGATATGCTGGCTGCACCTTCAGCGGGTTAGGTTTAGGGTTTAGGGTTTAGTGTTTAGGGTTTAGGGTTTAGGGTTTAGGATTTAGGGTTCAGGGTTCAGGGTTGAGGGTTTAGGGTTTAGGGTTTAGGGTTTAGGGTTTAGGGTTTAGGGTTAAGTTTCGGAGCTTGGGGGCTATGGGTTTCAGGTTGCGGGTCTCGGTCGGGAATCAGCGGAGGACGATGAATCCCCGGGTTCGCCTTAGCTGTGACTGGGGGAGGTTCGCTGACCTCGGGAACCCGCAAGCCTAAACCCGAACACCATGGCCGACACAATCCCCGACCCAACGAGTCTACCCAACTGACATTACGACGCTGTCTGCGAAGTCCCGGCATCTGAGCGGCCAAGTCCCCACCCAGTACGTCCCTTCACGTGCTGTACCCCAGAAAATGGCCCGTACTTTGAGAATATAAACACATGGAATGAGAAGGGCCATGAAACATGCACCAAGCACTTAATCAACCCGAACAAAAACAAACACCAATATGCAGCAAAACAACACTCTGAGAGAACACTACAACCACATCTGCCTACAAAAAAGGGTTTAGGCAACAACCAAGCAGCAGAGGCAATCTCAATGAATGCAACCCCGGGCCCGCAACGACGAACACACCTTCAAACAGGGCCGCCCATCTTCCACCAAAACAGTGACCCTTGGGATGTTCCCCTTATGCTAAGAGTCCTTCAAAAAGGATTATAGTGCCCCCGATTATAATATTGTAAGTATCAGGGGGAACATCCCAAAGTGACCCGAATGGCTTGGGGCGCTACGATTCTTCTCTGAATTCCAGAATCTCGACACCCAGCACCCAGGTCTTCAGGGTGCATGACATCTCGGTTCATGATGTATCTGGTCACTCCTCTACAACGTGGTCTCTTTTGTTTTGGGGTCCTCAGTATACGGCGGCCCCTATTCTTTAAGGGCACCCCAAAAAAATAAAGTACCAGACTTCAGAGAAACTGATGCAGGTTCACGGCATCCTAAACCCAGCCCCTGAGTCTTCCCACCATGTTGTACTTGATGCCCTTGTAGTCTCCGCCGAAGTTGGCATCAGCATCCTGCTCCTCGACGACGTAGAAGTCCTTGCTTTGCAGGCTGCAGCCAACTCCCAATCAACAGCCCCTACGCCCCAAA